AAAAAAAAAGTATACCAGTACTGAAGAAGTCAGTGGGTAAAACACGAGATTTTGAACAGCTTGAATGCGGTGTTTGTTGATGCTGGTGATTCTCAGAATCAAAACTAACAAACGACAGCACTTTAACCGGTGGCTGCTTCGTTTGTCGTCGTAACGACAAAGGTGTACGCAACCGTACTTTATCGAAGGGACCCTTCCGTGGTGTTCGGAATGACGAATCCAATTCAGCAAAGAAGCATAATGTTTCTTCAATTTTTGGTGTACGTACAATTTCACCGCACTCGCTATTACAGCTGCGCGTATTACAGATCGACGACGTTTCAGAATTCTGCGATGAACGACGATGACTGCTATCATAACCTTTCGACTTACGATAGAATAAGTCTCGGAACAGTACGCTTTTACGACGTTCCTTTACCGGTGTACTGTTATTACTGATACTACTGTAATGATACGAATTTGGAACTGGTGCTGTAGCTATGTCTTCCCCAGACAATACTCTAAATTCTTCAACATTATTTATTGTATGATTCAGACGTGTGAGTCCTTTAAATTTTGACGATTTCTTCGATTTTACCCTATGTACAGGAAACAGTCCAGGAAGAATACCATAGGACACAGATTTACTTAGCGAGTATTCACCACGTCTTCTCGGCATTTCGACAATACTTCGCCTTCCAAATCTTTTTTCTTCGTCTTGATTAACGGCGCAGAAAAGATGATAACAAAAAGAAAAACAAATGACAAAAACAATAACAGTAGTGATGACGACAGAAATAACAGAGACAGAAATTTTCTGTTGCAAATAATTAAATGCAACAATTATATCTGAAATAAAAGAAAAAAGTAGTTTAACAGGTAAAGCAGCGCGCAAAAATTTCGTTAGTTAAGCAAACCTCTGATAATCAACCAAAAAAAAGCTTTTTGCAATTAGCAGCTTAGAAGAACAGAATCTACTGTTCTTTCACTACTCGATAACTAAGAAGTTCATGTAACAAACGAAATTTTTTAATGAACTCAAACGTATTACAATTTTTCACGCTCACGAATCGCTACTAAGAACACCGTTCAAGCAGTCGTCAAAAAAGTAAAAAGTGGAGCCTTTGAAACAAGCAAAGACTGAGGAAACGATAAAGAATTTTAAAATTAAACTTTTTTATCTCGGTTTTATAATTCGTAAGCCAATTGCTGAGAAAAAGGAATATTCGTTCTTAAAAAGCACTGTTAAAAACTCCTTTGTTAACCGCTACTTTATGAAGACCCAAGCTACTTGGCAGAAACAGTAAAACATATCTAAAAGATTTGAATCAATTAGCACTTTGATTTTTCAAAAGATTTCCGGAAAAATTGAACAAAAAAGGACTGAAAGAGCTGAAACAAACTCCGGTTTTGCTGCTCAGTCAAATAGACAAAAAATACTAAAAAAGAAAAGAACAAGGTTAAACAAAA